GCCAGAGACTGCGGACACACTACGGGAGATGGCCAGAGACTGCGGACACACTACGGGAGATGGCCAGAGACTGCGGACACACTACGGGAGATGGCCAGAGACTGCGGACACACTACGGGAGATGGCCAGAGACTGCGGACACACTACGGGAGATGGCCAGAGACTGCGGACACACTACGGGAGATGGCCAGAGACTGCGGACACACTACGGGAGATGGCCAGAGACTGCGGACACACACTACGGGAGATGGCCAGAGACTGCGGACACACTACGGGAGATGGCCAGAGACTGCGGACACACTACGGGAGATGGCCAGAGACTGCGGACACACTACGGGAGATGGCCAGAGACTGCGGACACACTACGGGAGATGGCCAGAGACTGCGGACACACTACGGGAGATGGCCAGAGACTGCGGACACACTACGGGAGATGGCCAGAGACTGCGGACACACTACGGGAGATGGCCAGAGACTGCGGACACACTACGGGAGATGGCCAGAGACTGCGGACACACTACGGGAGATGGCCAGGACTGCGGACACACTACGGGAGATGGCCAGAGACTGCGGACACACTACGGGAGATGGCCAGAGACTGCGGACACACTACGGGAGATGGCCAGAGACTGCGGACACACTACGGGAGATGGCCAGAGACTGCGGACACACTACGGGAGATGGCCAGAGACTGCGGACACACTACGGGAGATGGCCAGAGACTGCGGACACACTACGGGAGATGGCCAGAGACAGCGGACACACTACGGGAGATGGCCACAGACTGCACACTACGGGAGATGGCCACAGACTGCAGACCACTAGGGAGATGGCCACAGACTGCAGGGGAGATGGCCACAGACTGCACACACGGGAGATGGCCACAGACTGCAGGACTGCAGACACACTACGGGAGATGGCCACAGACTGCAGACACACTACAGGAGATGGCCACAGACTGCAGACACACTACAGGAGATGGCCACAGACTGCAGACACACACAGGAGATGGCCACAGACTGCAGACACACTACAGGAGATGGCCACAGACTGCAGGACACACTACAGGAGATGGCCACAGACTGCAGACACACTACAGGAGATGGCCACAGACTGCAGACACACTACAGGAGATGGCCACAGACTGCAGACACACTACAGGAGACCACAGACTGCAGACACACTACAGGAGATGGCCACAGACTGCAGACACACTACAGGAGATGGCCACAGACTGCAGACACACTACAGGAGATGCCACAGACTGCAGACACACTACAGGAGATGGCCACAGACTGCAGACACACTACAGGAGATGGCCACAGACTGCAGACACACTACAGGAGATGGCCACAGACTGCAGACACACTACAGGAGATGGCCACAGACTGCAGACACACTACAAGAGATGGCCACAGACTGCAGACACACTACAGGAGATGGCCACAGACTGCAGACACACTACAGGAGATGGCCACAGACTGCAGACACACTACAGGAGATGGCCACAGACTGCAGACACACTACAGAAGATGGCCAGAGACTGCGGACACACTACAGGAGATGGCCACAGACTGCAGACACACTACAGGAGATGGCCACAGACTGCAGACACACTACAGAAGATGGCCAGAGACTGCGGACACACTACAGGAGATGGCCAGAGACTGCGGACACACTACACAGGAGATGGCCAGAGACTGCAAACACACCACAGGAGATGACCACAGACTGCAGACACACCACAGGAGATGGCCAGAGACTGCAGACACACCACAGGAGATGGCCAGAGACTAAGAACTTACTATGGGAGATTGCCAGAGCCTGCAGACATACTACAGGAGATGGCAATTACAGCCACTTTACAAATCAAAGCTTCCACAATTGTACTTTCAACAGACCCATTGAACAAACACCATGTGCAGCATTTGATATTTCACCTAAGCAAGATCCATTCTAAAAAGGGTTAAAGTGAAAAGAGGTGGACCTACAAAGATTGTGGATTTGGTGGCTGCTTGTGATTGCGTTGCTCCATTACTGAATGACTGTAATAGTAAGACAGAGTTAGGTCCATATATATTTGGACACAGGCACAATTTTATTTTTTTTTCAGGTATTTACCAAAACATATTCAAGCTATAGTTATGTAATGGATATGGGCTGAAAGTGCACACTCTCAGGTTTAATTTCCATCCAAATTGGAGGAAGGGTTTAGGAATTACAGCTCTTAAGAGTAGCTATCCCTCCTTTTTCAAGGGACCAAATGTAATTGGACAAATGAATGAAAGGAGTCTGGAACCCATGGACATTACCAAAGCTGGGTTTCCTCCTTTCTTATGCTTTGCAGGCTCTAACTGCAGCTGTCATCAGTTGTTCTTTGTTTGTGGGTCTCTCTTCCTTTAGTTTTGCCTTCAGCAAGTGAAATGCATGCTCAATTGGGTTGAGATCAGGCGATTGACCTGGCCATTGCAGAATATTCTACTTCTTATCCTTCAAAAGCTCCTGTGTTGCTTCTGCAGTGTGTTTTGGATCATTGTCCATCTGTACTGGGAAGCGCTCTCCAATCAACTTTGCTGCATTTGGCTGAATCTGGGCTGACAGTATATTTCTAAACACTGCAGAACTCATCCGGCTGCTTCTGTCACATCATCAATAAACACCAATGACCCAGTGCCACTGGAAGCCATGCATGCCCATGTCATCACACTGCCTCCAGCACGTTTTACAGATGACATTGTGTTTTTTGGTTCATGAGCTGTTCCAAACCCTCTCCACACTTTTTTCTTCATTCTGGTCAGATTAATCTTCATTTCATCCATCCAAAGAATGCTTTTCCAGAACTGGTCTGGCTTTTTTCGATGCTTTTTGGCAAAGTCTAATCTGGCTTTTCTATTCTTCAGGCTTCTGAATGGTTTGCACCTTGTGGTGAACCCTCTGTATTTGCTCTCGTGAAGTCTTCTCTTCATTGTAGACTTTGACAATGATACGCCCACCTCCTAGAGAGTGTCCTTCACTTGTCTGGATGTTGTGAATGAGTTTTTCTTTACCATAGAGAGGATCCTGCGGTCATCCACCACTGTTTTCTTCTGTGGAAGTCCATGCCTTGTTATGTTGCTGAGCTCACCAGTGTGTTCTTTCCTCAGAATTTACCAAACTGTTGATTTTGCCACTCCTACTGTTGCTGCTATTTCTCTAATGGATTTGTTTCATTTTTGAAGCCTTACAATGGCCTGTTTTACTTGCATGGACAGCTCCTTTGAATGCATGATGTAGGTTCACAGCAATAGATTCTAACTGCAAATACCACACTTAGAATCAACTCCTTACCTGCTTAACTGAAGAAATAACGAAGGAGTAGCCCACACCTGGCCATGAAACAGCTTTTGAATCAATTGTCCAATCACTTTTGGTCACTTGAAAAAGGGGAGATGGCTACTCTTAAGACCTGTAATTCCTAAACCCTCTCTTCAATTTGAATGTACATACCCTGTGCACTTTCAGCCCATATCCATTATTTAACTATAGCTTGAATATGTTTTGGTAAATCCCTAAAAAAAAAAAAAAAATATTGTGCCTGTGTCTTATATATATATATATATATATATATATATATATATATATATATATCTCTATCTATCTATATCTATATATCTAACTGTATATTCACAGACCGAGCAGACTAACATTTAGGGAGGAACATAAAGCCAAACCTTCCTTGAGAGGCCCATGGGGCTGCAATTGCTAATCCCCTTCTGAAGATGCTAGTTGTCTGTCCAATACATGGACCACCTAGGTTAAATTTGAGTCACTGACCTGGAACAAGTATACATATCTGGCATCTGCATGGGCCAGGTAAGGGACATAAAGTCAGTAAGTAACCATGACAGTCAGGAAACTAGCAAAATGAGCAGTATGGTGCCTTTATGTCTCTTCCAATTAAGGTTTCCTTAACCGCCTCCCGCCCGCCATATAAGGTAATGACGGGCCAAAGGCGGTTCTCTCATTCTGGGAGGACGTCATATGACGTGCTCCCACTCTAACCACGCATGCATGGCTCTGAGGGCGTGCAGATTGGTGGTGTGCTGTGTCCCTCTGACACAGCGGATCACCGATCAATGGTAAGAGCCAAAAATGTTGGCTCTATCATGTGATCAGCTGTGTGCAATCACAGCTGATCACATGTAAATAAGGAAATGCCGGCTATCGGCATTTCTTTCCTCACGAGCTGTCACTCTGACAGCTCATGAGGAGAGCCAGAAAATCGGCATTCCTCAGAGGGGACATGTACACTGATCATAAGGGCACTGATGATCAGTGTGCCCTGATGCTCAGTATAGCCCCATCAGTGCCACCTGTCAGTGTCCATCAATGTCAGCTGCCAGTGCTCATCAATGCCACCTGCCAGTGCCCATCAATGTCAGCTGCCAGTGCTCATCAATGCCACCTGCCAGTGCCCATTAGTGCCACAGCAATGCCACATATCAGTGCCTACCAGTGCACATCAATTCCACATATCAGTGCCCATCAGTGCTGCCCATCAGTGCCACCTACCAGTGCCTCCTCAGCAGTGCAGCCTATCAGTACCCATCACTGCAGCCTCATTAGTGCACATCAGTGAAGGAAAAAAAAAATCACTGATTTACAAAATTTTATAACAAACTTTTTTTTTTTTTCTTCAAAATTTGCAGTTGTTTTTGGTTTATTTAGCAAAAATAAAAAACCCAGAGGTGATTAAATACCACCAAAAGAAAGTTCTGTCTCAAAAAAATGCTAAAAATTTCATATGGGTACAGTGTTTCATGACCGCGCAATTGTCAAGGTATGACAGCGCTGAAAGATGAAAATTGGCCTGGGCAGGAAGGGGGTATACGTGCTCTGTAGGCAAGTGGTTAATAACTTTGTTTAAAGGCAGCAAGAAAAAAACAAAAACAAAAAAAAAAACAACAGATTGAAAAGTATGGATGAACAGTTGGGTCTCACAAAATAATTTCACCACTTACTCCATTGTGGTGGTCAGCTCCTCTGTCACATGGGCAGTCTGTAGGATCCCTTCACGTTTCTAACACAAGACAAGACATATAAAAGAAAAGAAATCGCTTATGACAAAAGAAATATCATATCCAAATACAACAAATCTAGACAGATATTTAAATTATGAAAAAAAAAAAGGTTTCTCAGCAGCTTAGCTTACCCTGCTCCCAGCTGTGACTCCACATCTCAACATTCACGCTCCCAGAGCAACTGTTCTTTGTACTCAGGGTGCACGGAGCTGCTGAGCCACTGATGAAAGGGGAAGCAGAGGATCTCAGCTGCTGAATTACTGTTGGGTGGGGGGGGTTGGTGAAGCAGGGGGAGCTGAGCTGCTGAGCCACTGATGAAAGGGGAAGCAGAGGATCTCAGCTGCTGAATTACTGTTGGGTGGGGGGGGTTGGTGAAGCAGGGGGAGCTGAGCTGCTGAGTCACTGATGAAAGGGGAAGCAGAGGATCTCAGCTGCTGAATTACTGTTGGGTGGGGGGGGGGGCAGGGGGAGCTGAGCTGCTGAGTCACTGATGAAAGGGGAAGCAGAGGATCTCAGCTGGGTTGGGGGGGGGGGGGGGGGGGGGGGGGGGTTGGTGAAGCAGGGGAGCTGAGCTGCTGAGTCACTGATTGAGAAGGGGATCTGAGCTACCGAGTCACTGCTAGGTGGTCATGCAGAATGGGATGAGTTGCCGAGTCACTGCTGGGAAGGGGAGCAGGGTCGTCTGAGTCAAGGAGATGGGAGAGGAAGGAGAGCTAAACTGCTAAGTCAGGGGATGAGAAACCTGAACTGCTGAGTCACTTCTGTGGGGAGGGGGTGCAGGGAGAGCTAAACTGCTGAGTTATGATAGGGGGAGGCAAGGGGAGCTGAACTGCTGAGTATTTATTCCATGGGGGAGCAGGAGAACCTGGAGCAGCCAAGTACTTGTTCTGAGGAGGGGGCACAGGGGAAGCTGAGCTGCTGAGTCACAGCTGACATTGGGACCATGGGGTGAGCCAACCTGACGACTACTGGGAGGGGAAACAGAGCTGTTGAAATAAGAACTTTGATGAATCTGCTATAATTGTTAAGGATGAATTGCAGCTAAGCGCATCATACTGCTGATTAGAAACAAATACATTAATGGCCAAAGCCTGGGCACAGCCTCAGTTTAAAATACAAAGATTATTTTGTGATTTTAAAAAAGCAGGGACTGAGAGAGAGAGATGTCACAAACGTATTCACTTATAGGTCTGCACACCACTGCAGCAGCAGCAGCGATTCCCCATTTATAAAATAAGTGCACCTAACACTACTTTGTGCTCACAATATTGTATATGTCCAACTGATGCAGAAAATTCATAAAATCAAGTAGGCAGCTGGGCAGCACAGTGGCTAAATGGTTAGCACTTTTGCCTGGCAGTACTAGGGTCATTGATTTGAATCTCAACCACAGCACCACCTGCCTGGAGTTTGCATGTTCTCCCTGTGCTTGTGTGGTACTCTGGTTTCCTCCCACACTCCAAAAACATGCTGGCAGGTGAACTGACTCCTGTCTAAATTGGTCCTAGTATGCGTGTATGTATGAATGCAAAATAGGGACCTTAGACTGTACGCCCCTTGAGGGTTAGGGACTGATGTGAATGTACAATATAAATCTCTGCATAAATTGATGGCGCTGTATAAAGTACCAGGAATAAATAATAAGCAGCTGAATGCTTACAGCAACAGGTCCAGACTGGAGATTCTAAAATTGAGCTCTGCTGCCATCTTGTGGTGATCTACCAAATTATCAGAGATGATGCAACAAAGTCAGAAAAGAATCATTTCTACAGGCTTTTTGGATTTGTGTACCAATTTCATGTCAGTGACTCAGGAAGTATCAAAGTCAAGATGGTGAGCATTTTAGCCAAGCAACTAGAATTTTCAGAAGGTTTTGCCAGTCTCAATGTTTTTCGCACGGAAACTTAAATGAACGGTCACCTAAATAGACCTGCTTCTACACTTTCCTCATGTCAACAAGTAACCCAGTATACAGTTTCAACTGACACATTAAAGTGTTACTAAACCCACAAAAGTAAAATCAGACTATATATGCAGTAAAGCATACTTGTTATAATCACTGTGGAACCTAAGGGGTTAATCCTCTCTCTCTCCTATCTCCTGATAAGACATATCGTGTGGAGTCACTCTGCTCATGCTCAATTTGGTGTGTATTGCGAGAGAGGGTTTTTTTTTTCTTGGGAGAGTGCATGTGATCAGCACAGGGCCAATCAGCACTGTCCAGACAGAGGTCAGGGGTTCTGCATCCTCCTAGAGAAAACTCCTCCTACAAGCTTTACCAGTGCTCTGCTGAACACTGAAAAGTCACAAGACTGTTCTAACTGCTGATGAGAAAAGGTATTTAGCAGTTTAAATTTACTAAAATAATGGCATTTCCATGTTGTGTGTACTGTGGGAGACCAGATAGCGTGAATGCAGGGTTCAGGGTTTAAAGCCCAACTGAAATTTCAGTTTAAAATTTACTAAATACATTGTAGGTACAAAAAAAGATGTTGGAAGTCGTAGGAAGCCTTAGGGTCACTACACACATTACAATTTGACCATACAATCTCTGTGCAATCAACTTTAGATCAAAACTATATCATATGAGCACCTACCCAATCTAACCAATCCACTTGTATCCCATTAGGCAGGCCCTTGTAATAAATAGTTTTTGGAAGCTAAAAGAGCACAGTTGGACTGTAATGTGTGAGGTGAGCTTTACAGTTTGGTTTCCTTAGAAAACAACCACAGCCCGAGTAGAAATGCTTCTCCTTTGCCAACATGACACAGGAAGAATCATTTTTCTCCCCCCGTGTAGAAGCAGTTATTCCTCTGCAGACCACCTATTTGATCCCTGCTAAGTCAGACCATTAACTATGTAATCAGCAAAGCTCAGGTTTCCTTCTGATTGGAGAGTTCTACCTCTGGCTAAGTAGGGGGAATGACAGACCTCTGCAAAATGGCTACTACATTTTTTGCACAGTAGCAAACAATCAGCATGATATTACATGGTTCTTCAGACCAGTTTATAATGAAGACATTTTTGTCAATCTAAATATATGAAATATATTTCTTATGTATCTAGCAATTCTAGTGTCTGAGGGCTGGAGGACTGTGGCTGCTGGCCAGCAGGTGTTGTATGGTGAGTTGCATGCGATCAGTGCTGCGAGGCTTCATGCCCTGCTAGGATTTAAAATGTTCTCAATTGTATTTATGAGAGTGCATAATTATTAACTAGTAAAATGTTTAGCGGTGAGCACTATGTTCCTTCTTTGTTTTCCTTGAGCTTTGACATGAGTGGATGGGTCTGACCTGTTGTCTGGTCCTGGGATTAAAGTGGTAAAACACAGAGTCCTTTTTCAGTGAGGGACAAGCTCCATTGAGAAGTGTTGATGCTGGCTGCAGTCACCTGGCTCTCCATTGTTCTGGGATGTAAAGAAATGTGTATTTGTGCTGAGGGTCAATTTCTGAAGGTGAAAAAAGTACACAGGGAGGGTTTGGCCTCACATGGAGAATACACATTTCACAAGTGATTAGGACTTTTTTTTTCTCAGCTTGATTATACAGATTGATGCAATTTTAATGTATAGGAATGATGGGATTTTATTTATGATATTAAAGTATCATGTTTTGAATATTGAAAAGCACAACACAAATTCACATACCCAACTTTAATGATGTATATTCCGGGTTTAAGAGATATGAGCGAATATAGCAATAAAATAAAAATATCCGTTGGATAGCATGTTCATTTACATCTGCTATAGAGAAGAGACTAACCATACTGCAGAGGAATCTGGGTGCCATCCGCCACAGCTGAAGCAAACATTACACAATCTGTATAATAAATATCAGATATGCACGGTTACATTACCTTTACCACCACCACTTGCACACACACGTGTTCTGGAAGTCGAATCGGAGCTCGAAAGTGCATGGCCAGGGCCACCAAAAGGTGCAAAATGGCAACCAAGTTCTTCCCATGAATAGCTGCAAAGATAAAAGGGAAATAATCAACACTTTATTCTGAAACAAAAAGAAAAATATCACTTTCAATTTAAGAACGTATATCCTTTTGTTTTTTTTGATTGGTTTCATTTTAGCTATTCACATGCAAAAAATATATACATTGCCAAATCATAAGTCTTGTATAAAAAATATTTTGATGTGTAAATGATATATGTACATGAAGGCAGTGCTGTCTACTGATCCTATTATCTCATCAATAATGTCTGTCTGAAAACAATAGACTGTTTGCAGTCTTCATTGAAGTCAAACACCCACACAGTGCTCCTAGTAGGCAGGCAGCATGCAATCGCAGTCTAGATTGTAAAATGACATAGCAGAGCTCAGAGAGGGTTTTTTTCATATCCATAGCAGACAGAAGTACTTTAATAATCAAAATTAAGACTTTTTTTATTTTAAATTTTTTTTTTAAGTAATGTTGATGTGTTCTACTGACCAATTTAACATTTTACGTTAAATGATAGGAAGCCCCTTTAAAGTGAACCTAATGGAACAAAGTTTTTGACACCTACAAATATTTGCATGACCCCTCATTTCTCTAATTTAGGGTGCCCCGAGGCCCTGTGTGCACTGCTTTGAAAATTTTGGCCAGAAATTAACCTCTACTTAAAAGTTAACATAAAATAGTTAACAATGAACTTCTCTTATTTGCTCCCTTTTGGTCTGTTTATTATACCATTGAAAACCCTACATCTGTTCAATAAGTGCAAAAAAAAGTGTTGATCCTGCCAAAAGTCTAGTTAGCTGATAACTTTCTGTACTTTCTGTCTGTGCTGCATGCTTATCAGTTACATTATTCCCAGATATGTGGACTACAATTAAAAAAAAAAAAAAAAAAAAAAACAAACTCTTATTCTATGGTCCTATGGTATAGGGTAGAAGAGAAGTAGAGGTTTTCTGTAGTCCTGTCCTAGGCAACAATGCTGTTACTGGCAGGATCACAGGCAAAAATAAAGAAATGGCTAAAAAAATAAAAACAAATGCAGCCACCCCATCTAAGGGATGTGTTTGGATTCACTGTAAGAGGGCCTCTACACTTTTATGGTAATTTGTCCAGGTACGATTGCTAGGATCTCAAACCAGTGACACAGAGAATACATTCCTATTGAAGCGTTCATGGCTTTGGACTATAAACCAACCTCTTTGGCAAATCCAAACACCAAAAGGGGTCTTGTGTAAGGTCACATCTGGAAGGAAGGGGAGGGTGGGGGGGGGTTCTAATATTACATAAACTAATAGAGTGCTCCTGTTCAAAACCTAACATCAGGTTTCCTGTGACTTTAACTAGTTCTATTGGACCAAGCTGACCCAAGTGAATTATTTCCTTTACTAAATGATGTTTCCTCTGGGAGTGCTGTATTAACTGTATGTACCATTAGCTAGTAGTCTACAGCTCAGTATTCTGGCAGCGAGACAGAGGTTTCCTGTTCAATTTCTGAAACAAAATTGTGTAGGGTCGAGCCATGCTCATCCAGTCATAGGAAGCCTTGTATTTTTATTAATACAAGGCTTCCCCTGATTGGCTGGGGCGTGGGGGGGACGGGACACATGACATCATCCACCCACCTCTCCCACCCTCGGCCAACCAGGAGGCGGCCTTGTATGCATTAATAAACATACACAGCTTCCTATGACTGGCTGAGCAGAACTCAAACTGACTTGATTTTGTTCTGGGAATAGTATGGGAAGTCTCCGTCCTGTTGTGGAAGCAGATGCTACATATAAATTTATACAGCATTCCCATTGGGCGCATTTGTAAGGAAACAGTTTGTTTGGCCCAGCGTGGCTCAAATAAACTATTTAAAGTCACAGGAAATCTTAGGTGCTAGTTTACACTTATGCGGTGCGGGTTTTGCAGCAAATTCTGTGCATTTCCAACACCGTGTCAGAACCATACTCCATTCATGCGCATCGCTGCGGGTATCTATGTTAACTTAAGCCATGTGATCCGATTCCAGTGCAAAAAAAGAAGGTGTATGCACCTTTCCTGTGGGTGTGGTACAGTTTGAGCCATACAAAATGAATGGCTCAAATTGCACTGCAAAGAATTGCATGTGATTTGAACAGGATTGTCGTGTGATTCCTGTCTGAATCACATGTGATTTCCTACACCGCAATAGTGTGAGCCGGCATTTAAGGGAAGAAAAACTCCAAGCACTGTAAAAATCGTAAGAGAGCTTTAACAATACGTAAAATAATTGATAAATCTAAAAACTCAGTTAATGAAAATGTTCCATGATGAAGAGACTAATTCTGCTAAGTAGCCTATTGGTACAACAGCTTCCAAACAGAAAAGACCCCGAATGGTGATAACATGCTGAGAGGAGTCAAAGTGAATCTCTGCACAAAGGCTTCCCATAGAAAATAAATCCATACCACGCTCCAATAGATGAAAGTCTCATCCACCTACCTTGGCTTCCCCCACCCTAACGTGTTTCACCCACAATAGGGCTTAATTGTAAAGCCGCTCTATGATTAATCCCTATTGTGGGTGAAAATCGTTAGAGAGAATCTCAGGTGGGTGAATGCGACTTTCATCTTCAATACATTTATACATGGAGTTTCTGTTTGGAGTGATGTATGGATTTCTTTTCTAAGGGATGCGCTGGCTGGTGAGAACAGACTTGTAATCATATCGGCACCCACAGTGAAGAATTGTTTTGAAGTTGAGACCTGGAGCGGAGCCTATAGTTCTGCACAAAAGGGAGCTGATATGAGTACGGCAGACTTACAGAGACAACACTTTCAGTGCCAGGATCTTGGCACGGTGAGGATTTCATGCTTGAGCGATTTTTAGAACCAAAATTTGTCAGGTTCTTGTTTCTACATTTTGACATGAGGTAGGGAGGACAAGAGTACCGTATCAACGTTTAAAGAAGAATTCCAAATATGGATATTTTATAAATCGATCGTAACATTGGTCCAAGCTAAACTATATATCAAAGCTGGCTGGTGCCCCTGGAAGTTTGAAATCATTGTAGTAAAACACCTCTACTCTATTGATCTCCATCTGCCTCCAGGTCCCATGCCGAGAAGATGCCCTACTGCATTGTGAACACAGGAGGTCACATAATCACCACGGGAGACATTAAGAGAATGCCTAACATTTTTTTAATAAATTCAAAGCGTTCTCCAATTGGACAAGTTGGAGAGTGTGACGTCACAGCTCAACCTCTCCACTCATCGAAACAGAGAATGCTTTGCATTCATTCAGAAAATCCTCTGAATGCCCCTGTGCCAAATAGTTGACCTCCTGTCTTCACAATGTAGCAGGATAGCTGAACAGGTGCTGTAAGGTTCCTTCTCCATCATGGCTTGAACTGCTGGTTTGAATGAAATGTTGGACATGTATGAGTAAATATGGGGTTATTTGAATATAGGGCAGTATGAGCGCTGATTTAATTGGAAGGGTCTCCCTAATAAAATGGGAAAAATGTATAGCATTGGCTTGTTTCCTTTGGACTTCTGTAATTAAAGATGTATTAAACCCAAAAAAAATGTAATATCTTGCAGCTTACCAATCATTAGATGTGGTGGCTGCATTACTTTTCTTTGGATTTTTTTTTGTATGTATTAGCGTGCCCCCACTCTGGATAAAGGAGCACAGGGGGCACCTATGGACAGCAGCATTGTCGGTCTGAGGGGAGTGTTAGATATACTAGGAGATTTTGATATACTAAAAAATTGAAACTGAATGCTAGCGAACACGTTATAAGTCATTACAGCAAACCATTTTTTTCTTCTTTTGAGATAAATGCTTTCAATGTAAGCACCCCTGTCAGTGTCAAATGGCTTGTCTCAGCCGAGTAAACAACTTGTTTTGTTGAGAAACCACAAACTACCAGGATCACCAGGTAAAAATAAAGTAAAAGAAGCCAAAACAATATAAAAAAAAAATGAGAGAGAGCGAGAGAGAGAGCGAGCGCGAGAGCGAGAGAGAGCGAGAGCGCGAGAGCGAGCGAGGAGCCAGAAAGAGCGAGCGAGCGAGGAGCCAGAAAGAGCGAGCGAGCGAGGAGCCAGAAAGAGCGAGCGAGCGAGGAGCCAGAAAGAGCGAGCGAGCGAGGAGCCAGAAAGAGCGAGAGCACGAGAGAGCGAAAGCTAGGAGCGAGAAAAAAGGAGAGGGAAAAAAAAAAAAAAAGAAAAAGGAGGGAAAAAAAAAGGGAGGGGAAAAAAAAAGGAGAGAGAAAAGAAAAAAAAATAGAGAAAGAGAGAGAGAAAGAAAGAGAGACTTATTGAAGAAGGGGGTTTCTGGACACTTAGGAACGTTCTCCCATAATTTCCAATTGGGTCTTTGGGGCATGAAAAGAAAGAAAAACCTCTCTGAACGGAAACCATCAGATTTAAGCATCTTTACCCCTTGGAACTGGTGCCTCCCAGTCCTTTAAGGGGTTTCATTTGCTGGGGAAGGGGGTAAGGTTTGTGATCATATAACCACCATGATTGGCTATCACAGTGGACATATGATTGGGCAACAGTAGCATTCCAAACATCAGATGTCCATATTCATATTAGTGTATTTATAAAACTTTGGTAAATTCCTTTTAATTCTGTATGCATCAGAAATGTAAATGTTTAGCCTATAAACCAGTCAGATCATAGTCTAACCATTTAAGTACTTACAGTCCACATTCCATCGTATTGCCCACCCCTGCGGCCTCAGAAACTCCTGAATGTCATCCAGGATGGTCTGCAGCTTCTGCTTCTGTGCAATCTCAGACTGTGTCACCTCTGCCACACTCAGCTTTCTATTAGCAAGTTTTTCTGCAAGAAGATGTAAAAAAAAAAAAAACATTTTCTTGTTACAGTCTACATGCTTCAATATTGATTTTGGATTCCTTAAAGTATAAACTAAAAGGCAAAACTTTGTTTTGGATAGAGTGGAGATTGATTAGAACCAGTTTTTATTGCGGTCTGTGCCCCCATTAGGGAGAGTCACCCTCTCCATTTTTCCCGTTTACCATTATCATTGAAAGTGAAAGTAGATTAAAAAAAACTCCAAATTTTGGTTTGTCAGCAGAAAAGTATTAGAGGGGAAATTTTCCAATGGGGACACTAGTCCTAGTGACCTGGGGGCTCCCAGGGAATTCCCTTAATTTGCAGGAATTTCTACTTACTTCCTGTTTTGGCTATGGCACAGAAAATGAAGGGAAATCTCCCACATAGGACACTATCCAAAAAATGATAAAAAAAAAAAAAAAGAAGTTTTGCCTATATTTCTACATTAAATCCAAACGCTAACCATACAGGTTTGCAAAAAGAACATTACACCTTACACTGGTTACATTTATAACAGAGAAGGTGACAACTAAAATTAAGCAACAGGGAAAATTTACATCAATATAATATACACTATGAAACCTGTCCCAGTAACAATTGTTCCTCCCAGGATAAGCCAGGAACTCTCCCCAGACATACAAAGTATATGCAAACCATAACAATACAGTTTTCTGATTTGCTTCCTTTGTTAAATATACATTAGAATAGTCTTTTATTATATCTTTTCTGTAAGAAAATAAATAAAAAACTTACTGCCTGTCGACCTTACCCGACATTCAGTGAACTCAAATTCCTGTGCACTCTGCAGCTTTTTCCTAAGCAGTACCCAAGTTCACTTCCAGGAACTACACATCATCATGATAATACAAGATTGGGGCAGTTGGGTTCTGCAGTCCTAACACTTCCGGTACTAGGGAGACAACACTGTTCCTCTGTAGATAAAGTACAGAGAATGCTGTCACCCTAGTACAGAAAGAGTTACTTAGAGGATAAATAAATGACAAAAATCCTTGAAAAATGCAACCTCCATAGCCAAGGGCTGGTAAGCTGCAATGAATTCCATTTTTACCCTCGGCTTTACATGCATTTTAATTAGTCAGGTCAGGCTTGCAGTTTTGTACCACCATGTGTTTTGGTGCCACCATCTGTCGTCATTTTAGCCCGGAGGACAGTCCAAAGCCAGCCTCAGTTTACAAATGGCTCCATTTTCTCTCCTTCAGCCAGCTCAGTAGAATTTTTAGTTGACTTGTCAAGCCATATGGTGCTCACAGGGCCACCCAGGCCTTAAAATTCAGCCAATTCAGCAGGAATCGTACACACTTTGAGCCATCTATGGGGGACTTTACTCTCAGCGATAATTAACCACTTCAAGTGTGGACACTTTCACCCCCTTCCTGCCCAGGCCAATTTTCAGCTTTCAGTGCTATCACACTTTGAATGACAATTGCGTGGTCATGCAACACTGTACCCATATGAATTTAGCATTTTTTGGAGACAGATAAATTATTTTGGTGGTATTTATTAACACCTGGGATTTTTTTTTTTTTTGCTATGTAAATGAAAAAAAGTCCAAAAATTAAAAAAAAAAAAAAAAAAGTTTCTTATAAAAAATTTTGCAAATAAATAATATTTCATCATAAATCTTGGCCAAAATTTAGTCAGTTATATTTTTAGTAAAAAAAAAAAAAAAAAAAAAAAAAAAAAAAACAAATTATGGTGTCACTGTACTTACTTGTGGGGGGTGATGAAGATTATTTTTTTTTTTTTTTTAAACTGATTGCTTTTACACCCATAAAGACTGTAAAAGCAATCATTTCTCCTTCTCTCTGGCTGCATTCTTGCAGCCATTGAGCAATAACGTGTGAGCTGTGATTGCTCACAGCTTGTCACATTGTACAAGACTGTTGTGAATCGCCTTGTACCATGTGATCTCTGTGATCATTCACAGATTTCACACGTAGTAAGCAATGATGTCAGAAGGGACATCTTGCTTACTACTCTGCATGTGATCACTGATTGGCCAATCAGTGATCGGCCAATCAGTGATCACATGATCGGGATCTCGCACAGAGGTCCCGTACGACGATCGGTGTTCCACTGTGTCCGGAGGATACAGCGGGCACCGGATCGTGGTGCTGCGCGCGCTCCCAGAGAGCGCGCACAAGCAGGGGGCGGGGAGGCTGTTTATAAATGGCCACCCGACCCTGCACTGCCATCTGGCTGTTTATATACAATGGCCGGACGGGAGGTGGTTAAATTAAGTAGAAAGATCTTCAGAATTCAGTCAAAATGAAGTTCTCGGCTTCGCAGAAATTATTCACCTACATCTCCCACAGAAAAGAAAAACAGGAATAACGTTCATAGCAGCAAAAACCACCAAACAACAAAAAGCAAGCCCCTTTAATAAAACCCCTTCTACACAATAAACCCTCCATAGTCATTAGTCTTCAAATGCACACAGCCTTGTTCACCTAATAGCTTTTGTAGGACTTGTCCGTCATAAAAGTCTTCCTCCAGGTTCTTCACTATAATCCTTTCCTCAACGAGGACCTCATTGATCCAATCTATAAGAACCTGCAGATGAAAGAAACACTTGTGAGTGTTATGCCAATATAAGCTTTCATTAGAATAATCCCCAGTGATCAAACCATGAAAGATCCAACCATGAAAGATCTTTGTTCACCACTTCCTGTTATAGGACGACAACGCTCTGTCCCTGCCTCTTAATTGTGCTCCTGTGTGGTCACACTGGCTTCTGATGGAGACTACAAGTGGCCATTTTACACACATTACACAGGCACGGCCCACTGTTGTCACCATCAGGAAGCCCACAATGAGAAGTGTCATGCAGCCATTAATGGAGTGCATGAAGATAGGATATGGCTGCAAAGGATGAAATTGGTGAGGTGGTGGTGAAAAACAGAACTTTATTTTAAAAATCCTAATTGTTTATGCGAATTAATGCTTTAGCCAACTAAATATTTATTTAGAGCAGGGGTCTCCAAATGTTTCAAAGAGCCAGTTTACAGTCCTTCAGACTTTTGGAGGCCTGGATTGCAGCCAGTGAGGGTAGAAAATGTCAGCATTAGTCAGAAAATGGCCTCAGAGTTGGTGGTCAGGAGGTGGAGGAGTAGTGCTCCATCGTCGGTGTCAGCGGGAGGAGTAGTGCTCCATCGTCGGTGTCAGCGGGAGGAATAGTGCTCCATCGTCGGTGTCAGCGGGAGGAATAGTGCTCCATCGTCGGTGTCAGCGGGAGGAATAGTGCTCCATCGTCGGTGTCAGCGGGAGGAATAGTGCTCCATCGTCGGTGTCAGCGGGAGGAATAGTGCTCCATCGTCGGTGTCAGCGGGAGGAATAGTGCTCCATCGTCGGTGTCAGCGGGAGGAATAGTGCTCCATCGTCGGTGTCAGCGGGAGGAATAGTGCTCCATCGTCGTCGTGTCAGCGGGAGGAATAGTGCTCCATCGTCGGTGTCAGCGGGAGGAATAGTGCTCCATCGTCGGTGTCAGCGGGAGGAATAGTGCTCCATCGTCGGTGTCAGCGGGAGGAATAGTGCTCCATCGTCGGTGTCAGCGGGAGGAATAGTGCTCCATCGTCGGTGTCAGCGGGAGGAATAGTGCTCCATCGTCGGTGTCAGCGGGAGGAATAGTGCTCCATCGTCGGTGTCAGCGGGAGGAATAGTGCTCCATCGTCGGTGTCAGCGGGAGGAATAGTGCTCCATCGTCGGTGTCAGCGGGAGGAATAGTGCTCCATCGTCGGTGTCAGCGGGAGGAATAGTGCTCCATCGTCGGTGTCAGCGGGAGGAATAGTGCTCCATCGTCGGTGTCAGCGGGAGGAATAGTGCTCCATCGTCGGTGTCAGCGGGAGGAATAGTGCTCCATCGTCGGTGTCAGCGGGAGGAATAGTGCTCCATCGTCGGTGTCAGCGGGAGGAATAGTGCTCCATCGTCGGTGTCAGCGGGAGGAATAGTGCCCCATCGTTGGTTGCAGTGGGAGGAATAGTGCCCCATCGTCGGTTGCAGTGGGAGGAATAGTGCCCCATCGTCGGTGTCAGCGGGAGGAATAGTGCCCCATCGTCGGTTGCAGCGGGAGGAATAGTGCCCCAGGGCCGGAGAGAGGCTAGCAAAAGGCCACATCTGACCCTTGGGCCACAGTTTGGAGACCCCCGATTTAGAGTCATTATCCGTTTGAAAGCGATTCTGTCAACCAAAAACTAATTATTAGAATAACGAAAGACAAATCTTTTTTTTTTTTTTTTGGATAGAGTAGAGATGGATTAGGACACCTGTCAAGTTTTTATTACTGTCTATGTCCCCGATTCACTATTTCTCCTGTCCACCATGATTATCGAAAGTAAAAGAAAATTCCAAATTTTAGGTTGACACCAGAACAAGAATAGAGAGGAAATCTTCCATTGTAGACACTCACTTTGGAGGGATATAGTCTCACTTCCTGTTCTGACTATGGGACAATAAGTGAAGGAAAATCTTCCCAATGAGACACAAATGGCAAAAAAAAAAACAAAAAAAAAAAAAAAAAACCACACAACCACAGTTTATAACCCTCCTTTACTCTAGTAAAACAGTCATTTAAAGTCAAACATTAATAAAGACCATATATTGGATCTCCAGCCCTGACTATTTTTCTAGTATTGGATGGATTGAGGGGTAGACCTATTATAGTTAGGAGCACACAGGAGAAGACTCAGTAGCTTTTGATGCCCCATTTTGCCCAACAATCGCAGAGGACATAGAGATGCCAGTTAACAGAGGCTACTGCAAATAAATCGCCAGCACTCCAACAAGCCTGTTTCAAAGTGAAAAGTTTCTGTCATGACATGATTATATAGGATTTATGTGATCATGCAATAAAAGAAACTTTTCACTATGAAGTAAGCTTTCTGGTGTTACAGTACATCTTATCCACATTGTACACCATGTGACCTGGTCAGGAGTTATTGTGGCACCACTTTTTTTGTTTTATTTCCAGTTTTACAAAGTCATGTAAGAATGCATGTACAAACAGTGTGAATATAAAGAGCATACAGAAAAACAAATCAGCTATTTTCCCCTCTCTCCTGTAGGAGCAGACAGAGTGAAAATTTCGAAACCATAGATGGATCAAAAGTTGGACAGTTTAGAAAGGACCGGACAAATTTCAATCTATCTATGGGCAGGCAGGTTGTACAGAAGTCGATCTACTGATCAACTTCAGTAAACTAGCCTGTCGGGGGTTTTTTTTTCCCACTTGATCGGTGCCGCCGGCTATAGCTGGCAACACTGACCATTGTATTCCGCTGGCGGGGACAGCTGCCTAATGGAAAAATACAACAGCTATGCGAAAGGATTCACACATTCAAATAATAGCGGTGCACTCTCCTCGTGCATTACCGTGGTATAAAATATTTTATTGGAAAAAAAAAAAAATGGTAACAGGTGCATACTTACATAGGGACCATAAAAACAGACAAGGAGCCACTTCTGTCAGTCCCAGAAAATGGGGGTTCTATAAAACAACTACCCAGTTGAAATACCTGACGCATTTTGGGAAAATGTGTGGGGGGGGGGGGGGGGGGGGGGAAAAAATGCATCAGCTACTTCAACACCAGATAGTTGTTTTCTGGGACCCCATTGTGTGGGACTGAACCGTGGCTCCTTGTCTGTTTTTATGGTCCTTATGCGAGTATGCACTTGTTATCAAGTGACAGATACCGTGTGAAGCACGAAGAGTGGAGTGCTGTTTTTTTTTTTACTTTGAGTGTTGTCACCCTATAACAGAAGTGCCTGAACAAGGACATTCATAGCAGGATCACCAGGTATTATTTTGACGAAAGCTGCAGATTTAAAAAGACTAATAATGACTTGGAATTGCATACATTTGTTGACGTTTAGGTGATTTAAGTGATTGAGTGTACAGATGCAGTATTTAACCACCTCCCGGTAGCAGTGCAGGGTCGGGTGGCAGTTTATAAACGGCCTCCCCGCACCCTGCTTGTGCGAGCTCCCTGGGAGTGCTCAGCACTGCGATCCGGTGCCCGCTGTGTCCTCCAGACACAGTGGAATACCGATCGGACGGGACCTCTGTGCGAGGTCCAGATCATGTGATCACTGATTGGCCAATCAGTGATCACATGCAGAGTAGTAAGCAAGATGTCACTTCTCACATCATTGCTTACTACGTGTGAAATCCATGTGACGTGAGGTCACATGGTACAAGGCTATTCACAACAGCCTTGTACTATGTGACAAGCTGTGACCAATCACAGCCCATACAGTAGTTCTCAATGGCTGCAAGAATGCAGCCAGAGAGAAGGAGAAATGATTGCTTTTACAGCCTTTATGGGTATAAAGGCAATCCAGTGTAAAAAAAAAAAAAAAAAAAAATCATCACCCCCCCCCCACAAGTAGTATAGTGTCACCATGGTGACACTGTACTGCTAGGGTGACAGTATGTAAAAAAAATATATATAAATAAAAAAAAAAAAAAAAAAAAGTAAAAATTATATATTTTTGGTTATAAACCAATTTGCGTTTTTTTTATTAAAAAAAGATAACTGAATACATTTTGGCCAAGATTTATGATGAAATACTATTTATTTGCAAAATTTTATAAGAAAAACACTTCAAAATTTTTGGACTTTTTCATTTACATAGCAAAAAAAATTAAATCCCAGTGGTGAATAAATACCACCAAAATAAAGTTTTATCGGTCTCAAAAAAATGCTAAAAAATTCATATGGGTACAGTGTTGCATGACCGTGCAATTGTCAAAGTGTGATGGCACTGAAAGCTGAAAATTGCCCTGGACAGGAAGGGGGTAAAAGTGTCCGGACTTGAAGTGGTTAATATGCTGGCACACAGGTGTCTATGACAGATTGGCTGCTCCAGTGCCCACTGCAGGTGAGAGGAAAGATTCAACTCGGCGTTAGCGACAAGTCAGTCTCAGACACAACGGTAGCAGGATATGTCTACCCACACAAGTTACACTCTAACATCTAACTGTATATCTATAGCTTTAACCTTTATTTGTTCATTTTGGGTGGGGAAGAATCAGAATTCCTGCCAAATTTTACTGCAGTCAGAGGCTCTGTTGGAGAGATTCTGTTATTTCCTGTTTGATAAAAATGTTGTCCCTGGGACAGGAAGTGGGGAGGAAATCTCTCTAACAGCAACAGACAATTTTTATAGGAGAATTTTAGAATGTCAGTTGGGAGTTTTTTTTGCTGTCTGCTTCCCAATACAGATTTTCCATCACTTCAAGTCTTTTATAATGTCTCTAGAACAGGAAATCCAAGAAAATCTCTCAGACGGACCTTGGATAGAAGTAAAACCTGACAGGCATTTTAATGCTACTCAATGGATATCTATACCAAAAACATCTTTTGGTATTTGATAGAATAAATGATGGGGTGCCTTTGTCTTTCACTTTATAAAAACTTGTAACAAAAAAACCACAAAAAAAAAAAAAAAACCCAAAAAAAAAAAAAAAGTCCACATGTAATAGGACAACATATAGACATACATACCTACCAGGGGCGGACTGACCCTTCGAAGCACTGCCCGAGGGCCTGGGGTTAGTAGGGGGCCCCATGAAATGCACCTAGTACCTTTTTTTATAGGCTTTTTTGGGTGTGCTTTGATTTGAGCAAAGACACAGGGGCGCCATGATCCCCTATTGCCCGGGGGCCCCATGAATTGTCAGTCCGCCCCTGATACCTACTCATTCACACCCGCTCTCCTGCCACCCTCTCCCCATTTCATTTTAAATCCATCCTACTTTGAACTGGGGTAATGCTGACCAAAGCGATCAGATCATTTAAGCAGCCAGATGTTGTGACTGCCTTCTAATTTATAATGCCAGAGATGCACGTTTCAGCTTACAGCAGAACCAGAAGTGAAGTAGCTCACACAGGGAAGCTTTTCATCCATAGAATACCAGAAATCATATCTCTGCAGTTCATAGCCCATCAACACCAAAGTGGAGTACACACTAAGAAAATCTGAAGAAAAAACTGCATGAGGCAGATCTTTCGATTTTCACATAGTGAGTACACAACTTTCATCATCTGATTCAGACTCTCCAAACAAAAATTTCCAACAAAGGGACAAACTCCTACATTTTCCTTGTACATGAACAGAACTAACAATTTTCATTTAATGTTGACTATTTTCATACAGTTTCCGTACCAGAAAAAAAAAAAAAAAGATTTGTTTTTTAGATTGTGTGCCCCATGAGGGTTAGGGACTGATGTGAATGTACAATATATAGGTAAAGCACTGAGTAAATTGATGGCGCTATATAAGTACCTAAGATAAATTTAAAAAATAAAAAATCAGATACGAAAGACTGCGCATGATCAGAAACACAACAAAAAAAGCCTTTATTGTGCGAGAATTTATGTACAATTAAGGATTCAACCTACTGTGAAACCGGATGATCATTCTTCCGATTTTCTTATAGTGTAGACTGGGCTTAAAGGATGGATATCAGGGTGTGGGTTTATATGGTTTCTATTTAATCTGTTTTAGTTTAAAGACATTCATTTATCCAACAAACCATCCATCATTGAAACAAAGCTGTGCAATAGGGTTGATATTAGTGGAGGTATTTATTACACAGAACACGCTTTGGCATTACTGGGCGATTGGTCAAAGCAGTGGGAACTGCAGTTCAATATTTCTGAATGCAAAATAACTTATAGAAAAAAAAAAAAAAAAAAAAAAAAAACACACAACAGCATGGTCTGACAGTGGCAGTATAGATTTTTAATTTTCACCAGAAAAATCCCCAGCAGGGGAAACGAGGACCCAATTCCCCTATATAGATCTTTAGTCATCACTAGATGTGTGGCAGGAGGAAGGAGGTCCTGATTATCCTCTATAGATCTTTAGTTATCACTAGATGGGTGGCAGGAGGTCCTGATTATCCTACATAGATCTATAGTTATCACTAGAAGGATCACCAGCAGGAGGAAGGACGACCTTATTCCTCTGGCCATTTTTCACATTATGTCACTTTACACAATTTTATTTATATTTATTAGTTTATCACTAACAGTGGCACTATTTTCAGTATATGATTATTGACAGCCATATCATTGATTCATGACATTGCATTTTATTTTCATTTATTGCATTTTATTGTACTCAGATAGTTACATTATTTAGCACTGCACCCTACTTTGTCTTTGATCTCAGAAGGTTGTTTGGTGCCTTTTTGGTGTTACAGCAGATCACCAATTAGCGCTCACTTTTGTGCATTTTTTACCTTATTCCTCGATTTAGATCTTTAGTTATCCCTACAGAAATCATCAGCAGGAGCTAGGGTTAGCAAGGAGCTAGAGGTTTATGGTTTAGGTACACTCTAAAGCATGCAAAGGCGTAAACAAGCGCTAAAATCAAACCAAATCCCCCCAAAACATTTTTTACCTTCACTAGTTCCTTAAATTTTGAATCTTCTTTGGAATTAGGGTCGATCATGGTCCTTTCTTCATTTTCCTCTGAGAAGTGATAAGTAATAGATGCAGTCAGAGACATGGTAGCAATCAGTCTGAACAGTCATAGTCATGAAATATATAGATGGTACATGGGGAAATAGATCTACTTCCTCTGGAAGATTTCTATTTGTGGAGAGGTGACACATTCTGGCTCATCGGAGGGATGATTTTCCAGTGGAAAGGAAGTATGATGGGACTGGTTATATACCAAGAAGCGATGGTGTAGGCCATCTACCAGCAATCTTATCAAAACTGCCTACTCTACATGTGGTCATAGGCCCCAACTACAGGTGTCGAAAACCACATATAGAACATGCAGGATGTGGTGGTGGACCTTTTGGCCATTTGTAATACATACTCTTCAGCACTTCTGTCACCTGAGCACCATTTATTCTCTGAAAGTGGGATATCAGGCAAAGCAAAAGTAATTGGCCTAGGTTTTCTAAACTTCCCAAGTGATTATTCCTACAAGAAAGGTTGGCTTGCTGATACTATACGTAGATACAATGTATCCCTACAAATCTGGCTTGAAAAAAAAAAAAAGTAGAGCCAGACAATGGTCAAAGTAAAAATACAATCTGTCAGTATTAATCCAACATACTAGTCTTTATCCAGGTTCAACATTTACCCACTGAACCCGCCCATAGATCCTTTGGTTTTCCACTTCCTTTAGCATGACGGCAACATTGCAGTGTACTACAGTGAAATCACTGCAGTACTGTCATCATGAGGGCATGTCGTTTTATATGGACTTGATGGGGGAGGTAGGTGTAAATCATAGGAATAAAATCGGACCATTGTAAGCACCACTGGCTGGCTACGCTTTGTCCCAACCCCCGTAACTTTTATTTTTTAAATAAAAAAAAAATTTAAGTTTATATGGTTCCCAGACTACAATATTTTTATGAGAGTGAGCAGTGTAAAACAATGCAGACATGCTAAATTTTTACGTAGAGCACCTCAAGAGTGTTATGGTATGAATAGTGCACATATAAAATCAATTGTTTTCTATGAGCCTACGTTGAGCTACACCGACCCTTTTCTAAGTTAAACAACAGAAATGCTTGGCAATTAACGGTCAGCTGGAGGGGTCTACTACTATGCAGACTTGGCAAAAGTCACTTAAATTAAAAAAAAATAAAATCAGTTACATTGGTTTTCAGTCATCTTACACCAGTGGGTAGCTCAACCTGTCCCTTTGGAGATACTATTCATCAATCTGTTCTTCAGAGTTCTCTCCTTCCATTGAAATATTTGGCTTCGTTCCCAGCTGGAAGTCAGGACTAGAGATTCCATTTTTTAGATTTTACCATCATCCTTCTACTTCAGACTTCCAGGCAACCTCTCTCATCCTTCCTAGTAAATCCAACCTCCTCCCTGCAACGTACATAAGGTTTCGTCCCAGCCTTCCCACTTCTTTCCCACCCAACATCACTCACTGCACTAGCTGAAGAAAAGGGAGTCACCATGTAGGGCAGACACAGTAAGGGTCATTACACACGAGTGATAATGCTGCAGGCGACAGTCAGAGAGGAGAGGCTTCTATGTACCCTGAGAAGTTTCACCCTGCCATGGAAGCTGCAAAATCACACTCACTAGAGTAGGAGGGACATCTTGTGAGTCCAACCAGCAAGGGAGTTGATCAGCTGAGATTGCAATTTTTATGGAAACAGAAAGCTCAAAAAATAGCCGTTTCTGGCAACCGTTAACAACATAAAACAATACACATTTTCTGACTTTAAGCATGTGGTCTGGTATGATTCAGGAAGGGGTGACCCCTGCTGGGCTGCATACCTGGATAAGGGTCTTGGTTTTTTTTTTTAATTTTGGCATCGGAGTTCCCCTCAAAATCCATACCAGACCCGAAGGGCTTGGTATGGATGGGAGGGGGGACCCCATGCCGTTTTTTTAAATTATTATGGTGCCGGTTTTTAAATTTAATTACCCTTTTTTTTTTTCTTCCCTATAGCTCAGTGATGGCGAACCTTTTTGAGCCCGAGTGCCCAAACTGCAACCCAAAACCAACTTATTTCTTTCAAAGTGCCAACACTGCAATGAAACCTGAATATCGAGCTTTTGGTTTAGAAAAAACAACTCGTACAGTAGTGCAAACTAATTAACAGTACAGGGATGACCAGAGACTGCGGACACAGTACAGGAGATGACCAGAGACTGCGGACACAGTACAGGAGATGACCAGAGACTGCGGACACAGTACAGGAGATGACCAGAGACTGCGGACACAGTACAGGAGATGACCAGAGACTGCGGACACAGTACAGGAGATGACCAGAGACTGCGGACACAGTACAGGAGATGACCAGAGACTGCGGACACAGTACAGGAGATGACCAGAGACTGCGGACACAGTACAGGAGATGACCAGAGACTGCGGACACAGTACAGGAGATGACCAGAGACTGCGGACACAGTACAGGAGATGACCAGAGACTGCGGACACAGTACAGGAGATGACCAGAGACTGCGGACACAGTACAGGAGATGACCAGAGACTGCGGACACAGTACAGGAGATGACCAGAGACTGCGGACACAGTACAGGAGATGACCAGAGACTGCGGACACAGTACAGGAGATGACCAGAGACTGCGGACACAGTACAGGAGATGACCAGAGACTGCGGACACAGTACAGGAGATGACCAGAGACTGCGGACACAGTACAGGAGATGACCAGAGACTGCGGACACAGTACAGGAGATGTCCAGAGACTGCGGACACAGTACAGGAGATGTCCAGAGACTGCGGACACAGTACAGGAGATGACCAGAGACTGCGGACACAGTACAGGAGATGACCAGAGACTGCGGACACAGTACAGGAGATGACCAGAGACTGCGGACACAGTACAGGAGATGACCAGAGACTGCGGACACAGTACAGGAGATGACCAGAGACTGCGGACACAGTACAGGAGATGACCAGAGACTGCGGACACAGTACAGGAGATGACCAGAGACTGCGGACACAGTACAGGAGATGTCCAGAGACTGCGGACACAGTACAGGAGATGACCAGAGACTGCGGACACAGTACAGGAGATGACCAGAGACTGCGGACACAGTACAGGAGATGACCAGAGACTGCGGACACAGTACAGGAGATGACCAGAGACTGCGGACACAGTACAGGAGATGACCAGAGACTGCGGACACAGTACAGGAGATGACCAGAGACTGCGGACACAGTACAGGAGATGACCAGAGACTGCGGACACAGTACAGGAGATGACCAGAGACTGCGGACACAGTACAGGAGATGACCAGAGACTGCGGACACAGTACAGGAGATGACCAGAGACTGCGGACACAGTACAGGAGATGACCAGAGACTGCGGACACAGTACAGGAGATGACCAGAGACTGCGGACACAGTACAGGAGATGACCAGAGACTGCGGACACAGTACAGGAGATGACCAGAGACTGCGGACACAGTACAGGAGATGACCAGAGACTGCGGACACAGTACAGGAGATGACCAGAGACTGCGGACACAGTACAGGAGATGACCAGAGACTGCGGACACAGTACAGGAGATGACCAGAGACTGCGGACACAGTACAGGAGATGACCAGAGACTGCGGACACAGTACAGGAGATGACCAGAGACTGCGGACACAGTACAGGAGATGACCAGAGACTGCGGACACAGTACAGGAGATGACCAGAGACTGCGGACACAGTACAGGAGATGACCAGAGACTGCGGACACAGTACAGGAGATGACCAGAGACTGCGGACACAGTACAGGAGATGACCAGAGACTGCGGACACAGTACAGGGATGACCAGAGACTGCGGACACAGTACAGGGATGACCAGAGACTGCAGACACAGTACAGGGATGACCAGAGACTGCAGACACAGTACAGGGATGACCAGAGACTGCAGACACAGTACAGGGATGACCAGAGACTGCAGACACAGTACAGGGATGACCAGAGACTGCAGACACAGTACAGGGATGACCAGAGACTGCAGACACAGTACAGGAGATGACCAGAGACTGCAGACACAGTACAGGAGATGACCAGAGACTGCAGACACAGTACAGGAGATGACCAGAGACTGCAGACACAGTACAGGAGATGACCAGAGACTGCAGACACAGTACAGGAGATGACCAGAGACTGCAGACACAGTACAGGAGATGACCAGAGACTGCAGACACAGTACAGGAGATGACCAGAGACTGCAGACACAGTACAGGAGATGACCAGAGACTGCAGACACAGTACAGGAGATGACCAGAGACTGCGGACAGTACAGGGATGACCAGAGACTGCGGACAGTACAGGGATGACCAGATACTGCGGACACAGTACAGGGATGACCAGAGACTGCGGACAGTACAGGGATGACCAGAGACTGCGGACAGTACAGGGATGACCAGAGACTGCGGACAGTACAGGGATGACCAGAGACTGCGGACAGTACAGGGATGACCAGAGACTGCGGACAGTACAGGGATGACCAGAGACTGCGGACAGTACAGGGATGACCAGAGACTGCGGACAGTACAGGGATGACCAGAGACTGCGGACAGTACAGGGATGACCAGAGACTGCGGACAGTACAGGAGATGACCAGAGACTGCGGAAAGCACAGGGATGACCAGAGACTGCGGAAAGCACAGGGATGACCAGAGACTGCGGACAGTACAGATGACTGCTGACCTTTGGGGAGGGAGGGGGAGCGGGTACCTGAATTTGACAGGTACCCGCTCTTACTTCCGCAGAGTTTTTTTTTTATCTTACCTGTTCCTTTATCCAGCCGCGCGCTGTCTTCCCGGCTTCTGTAGTGTGGGTGCTCGTCGGACAGCCGGATGCCCAGTGCGCATGCGCGAGAAGCGCTGCGCTTTGTGATTGGTCCGGCGGCTTCTGGGATCTGTCATGCGTCCCAGGTACCGCCTTACCATTCACAAAGAGCACTGCTTCTTGCGCATGCGCACTTGGGACCCGGCTGTCACGCACACTACAGAAGCCGGGAAGACAGCGCGCCGCTGGATAGAGGGACAGGTACGGTCCCACTGCAGAGCTGAGCGGCCGGCCCCGTATTCTGACACGGCGGCGGTGGAAATACCGGACCGGCCACTCTATATTCGCTCCATAAGACGCACTGACATTTTCCCCCCTTTTTTGGGGGAAAAAAAAGTGCGTCTTATGGAGCGAAAAATACGGTATTCTCCTGGCGTGCCCACAGATAAGGCTCGGCGTGCCGGCTGTGGCACGCGTGCCACGGGTTCGCCATCACTGCTATAGCTCATAAATTCAGCTGTCACTCTCCCCCCAGCTAGTTTATTTCCCCAAATTAAGAGAAACAATGTTTCCTTTTAGTTTCTTAAAAGAAACAAAAGTTTCCATTATCTCCAGGGAAAGTGACAACTAACTCTGTGAGCTATAGTGAAGAAAAAAAAAAAAAGCCGGCAATTGTATTTAAAAATCTGCACCGACACACACTTTGTATTGCGAAAAAAATTTGTAAACAGGCACTATTTTCATTCGTAAACCGAAAATTATGTTAACTGAGGAGTTCGTAAAACGAGGTATTACTATATTGCGAAAGGAGCCACACCCATGTAGGATGGTAAAAAAAACTTTTCAAATAAAAAGTCAACAGATGCTAAAAAGGAGGACTCTATAATGACTTAAACACCAAGGAAGGTATGTACCAGCAAGAAGAAGACAGTTTTGCCCAATCTCCAGCAATCACTGTAGGAGTAAGCGTTGGGTCCTCATTGCCTACAAAGATCGTGAACCCACTCTAACCTGAGTTAGGTAACCTTTTAGAATTTTTCCATTGTATAGACTTGTTCATTTGCTAGGAAGAAGATAGCATCTTGTTTGTTTTATGCATCTGTCATTCTTGTATTGTATTCCTATAATTGTTTATGTACAGAATTTTTATTTAGTAAAAGCACAAATATACCACAGAGGTCAAATCTTCCTGGCTTATAAACGCAAAGCACTCTTTACTAGACTCCACAGCAAAACAGGCCCCAACACAGGAGGAAGTCTTCCAATGGGGACACCTGTTCTGGAGACAACTGTCTAAGAGAGGAAGTCCCTTGTCTTTGAGAGATGTTCCTTAAATTACTGTTGTGTCTTTCAAGGACAGAAAGCGAAGGGAAGTTCCCCCAATGGTATACAGATTATATTTATATTCTACTCTACGCAAAACATTTTGGTTATACATACACTTGAAAAAGGAAGTAACTATTTTCTAGGATAAGGAATGGTCATGATACCCTTAGAACCCATAGAATACTTTACCGAGCATGGTGTCTTCTGGGTGGATGTCAATAGGAGTGGGGGACATTGGCGCATTGATGGCATTTTTTCCTTCTTCCTGGAGGTCACTCACTGCAACAAAAGACGACAAATGCTAGATTACCAACAACACTTAATTTGGCAAACATTGTGTAAAAATGCAACTTAAAAATGGTACCAAAATACAGAAATGTATTCACTATCAACATACATGAAACATCTAGAGGTTTTTATCAATATACCTTCAAAAAAAAAAAAAAATAATACATGGAATTTAGTGCCATTGCACAAATTATTCTCTTTGCATTATTAAAATTTTTATGAACATATTGACCCCCTGTCACCGCAACATCCCACCCACCCCTTTGGCTTATATATCCAAGAAATACTTAATTCCATTCACTTTGCATCCCCAAGCTGATTTCTGCAGAGTAGTAAGGACTACACAACACATTCCCAGATTATAAATCTGCTTCTTTAGGGGTTAAATAGGAGGGTGATAGAGCTACAAAACCAGCATCTTCTAATCAAAAAACTGTATACATAGGCAAGAATCTTCACAACTTGTGAAAAACTATCACAGAACATCTCCAATTTGATGTATACATTCCATCCAATAGACAGGACACGGTTTGTTTGTCAGGAGCTAAATATCACAAGGCAGTACTAGAAAATGACAAAAGACGTTCACCGAGTACCACTAGCAACACAGACTGAAGATGCTAATAAATTGTGCAAATATTTACCGTCTCAGGTCATGGATAGTAAAAGGATTTAAACCCTCAAATTGAACTTAAAGGGAATCACATCCTGGTCCCACAACATGCAGCACTTTGACCATACAGCCCCCAGCCTACCATCTGAGGGCAAGATGCCTCCAAAAAAAAAAAAAAAAATAGAACTTTGGATGTGCTAGCTGACTGGATACTGGTCCCTTTGCAGGTAAAGCTATGCAAAACATTAAAAATAAGTGCCGATACGGTGTAAAATCCAGTAATACACTGTCTCACCCTACTCTGTATATGCTCTGTTGCTATTTTTTTGGCATTGCCAAAAGTGTAGAGGCTGATCGGCTGACAGCCTAAAGATTTACTGCTGCTCAGGGGCACTGGCCATCAACATAATGGCAGATTTAGGAACCCAGTACAAGGATGGTGGGAACCCCTCATAATGAGCACAGTGGGTGTGCAGATACAGGAACTCAGGACAGCGACCTCACCAATAAAGCCCCTAAGAAATATCAGAAATGGTCAGGAGTTTAATTCTCCAGTATCGACCAAACACTGAAATATCTGTACAGGTAAACTGGTCCCCAACTCTGTACATGCTCCGTTGCTATTTTTTTGGCACTGCCAAAAATGTACTGGCTGACAGCCTAAAGATTTACTGCTGCTCAGGGGCTCTGGCCATCAACATAATGGCAGCCTCCAGCAAGAAAACAGAGGAGCAAAGCTGGAGGCAATTTACAGCACACACATTTTAGAAGAATAATTATTAAATGTGGAATGTATGTTCCCGGTTAAAGAACATTATTTTTGATCATGTTGTTATGGGTAAAATTTCCTCTAATGACTGCAGCAGATGCACAGATCAAGGAGCTCTGCACTGGAATGGTGGGAACCCCTCATAATAGTTAGAGCAGGTTCACAGATTTAGGAACCCAGCACAAGGATGGTGGAAACCCCTCCTAATGAGCACAGTGGGTGTGCAGATACAGGAACTCAGGGGCTTTATTGGTGAGGTCGCTGTGCTAAGAAATATCAGAAACGGTCAGGGGTTTAAATTGTCCAGTGTCGACCAAACACTGAAATATCCGGAGATCAAAAAAATTGGTCATTAATTATTCCTGCTGCACACATACAAACACGAGGACTAATTTATCCACTGCTAAGTAACCAAGTAGGTTTTTGGAAGAAACCAAAGAATCCAAAAACACAAGAAAAACATGCAAGCGCCACATAAAAAAGCATCTCTGTTGGGATCTGAACTCAGAATCGAGAGCTTGAAGGCTATTCACGAGTGGTCAAGGCTTTGCTTGTGATACTCGGCAACGATTCGGAATCCTATCAACTGAATTTTTATCTGCAATAGTCACATGACCAATAAATGTTATTTCGTTTTAGGTAGAGTACAGTATAGTTACATCTCTTACATTTTTATTTTTTGCTGATTTTGTACAAAGTGTGGGGGGGGATCCCGAGTGCCCTCCTTGGATGACTCTCCCTACCTCCTGTTCTGGTGACAATTGTAAAATGCTGGACAAAAAACATTTTTAACAAAAAGAAATCAGGAAAAATAGGTTGAATCTCTCCATCCAGGACACAGACAGCAATAAAAACCTGACAGGGGTTTAACTATGTCCCTATTCCACCAAAACTATGTAAGCAAAGTTTGGCTATAGAAAAATTACCCAGAGATTACCACCCCCCCCCCCTTCCCCAATCACACAATCAGACCTGTCTTATTCTCGCCAGCGCCGATTGCCTCTTTTTTGCGTTTTCCGCACAGGAACCCAGACATGGTGGTCTCAGCTTGAGGGAGGTCAGCCGACAGTGAAAGGGCGTAGGACAAGAAGCGAAAGAGACACCAACGGTCCAGGTTATTTCTGACAGGGTGACGATCGGATGACACAGGGGCTGAGCACAGTGGAAGGGTTTGGACAGCTGGAAGTCTTGTCCAGTAAAAACAGGAGCCGGCTTCAGTATAGGAGAATGTAACGACTGTATCTAAAGAGGAATTTGGGACAAAAGGAAGACAAATCGGCGATGAAAGCGTCTGCTCTCGTCTTCTTGCTAGTGAGTATGAAACATCTTCCTGGTCTGTGAAGACTGGAGCTGCACCCGCAGCAGTGCCAGGAATGATGCCAGCTCTTCAGCGGGCTCATTAGTGTAATGCAGGGGATGCTGCGCTGGCCGCAGTGTATTTGTGTGTTTATGTACATACATTATTTATTTGTATAGAAATAGGTCACCTTTAATCTCTAGTCTGCACTGCGTAAATACATTCAAATAACTCATGAAGGACTAAGAGTCACTCAAAAATTTAAAGTGAATGTACAGCCTAATAAAATGAACTTCTTATGCTCTTTTTTAGTCTGTTAAATATAATGTTGATAGCTCTTGTTATATCCGCTTGATAAATGCAAAAAATATCTGTTGATTCTGCCAGAAATCCAGTGCAGTCTTTTTTAAAGCAGTGTTCTCAGCCTTGCCCATTTCTCCTCTATAAGCTAGTAGCATTCAGCAGGAACTGTACATGGTTTTTTTTTTTTTTAAATTTAGTTTTTTCCACAGGCACTCTTTTCCCTGTTACAGTCATTTATAGACAGGTAAAAATGTGCCAAAATTTTGCCAACCATCTGTAAATGTACAGATTTTTTGTTTTGGAGATGGGGGGGTTCTATAGCAGTGGTCTCCAAACTGTGGCCCTCTGCTTGCCTTTAACCACTTCCCCTCCAGAGAATTTACCCCCCTTCCTGACCAGGCCATTTTTTGCGATATTAAGCTGCGTTACTTTAACTGACAATTGTGCGGTCATGCAACGCTGCACCCAAGTGATATTTATAGCAAAGGAAATAAGTATTTGATCCCCTGCTGATTTTGAATGTTTGCCCACTCACAAAGAAATGATCAGTCTAAAAATCGAATGGTAGGTGTATTGTAACACTGAGAGACAGAATAGCAGCAACAAATTCAAATGAAATGCATGTCTAACAAATTATGCACTTATTTACATGTTCATGAGGGAAATAAGTATTTTATCCCCTATCACTCAGAAGGATTTCTGGCTGCCAGGTGTCTTTCATACAGGTAACAAGCTGAGATTAGAAGCAGTCTCTTAAAAGGGAGTGCTGCTAATCTCATTTTGTTACCTGTATAAAAGACTCCTGTCCACAGGAGCAATCAGATTCCAAACTCTTCACTATGGCAAAGACCGAAGAGCTGTCCAAGGATGTCAGGGACAAGATTGTAGACCTACACAAGGCTGGACTGGGCTACTAAACTATCGCCAAGCAGCTTGGTGAGAAAGTGACAACAGTTGGTGCAATCATTCGCAAATGGAAGAAACACAAAACAACTGTCAGTCTCCCTAGGTCTGGTGCACCATGCAAGATCTCACCTTGTGGAGTGCCAATGATCATGAGAACAGTGAGAAATCATCCCAGAACTACACGTGAGGATCTTGTTAATGATCTCCAAGCAGCTAGGACCACAGTCACCAAGAAAACAATTGGTAACACATTACGCCGACAAGGATTGAAATCCTGCAGTGCCCGCAAGGTCCCTCTGCTCAACAAAGTACATGTCCAGGCCCATCTGAAGTTTGCCACTGAACATCTGAATGATGCGGACTGGTAGAAAGTGTTGTGGTCAGATGAGACCAAAATCGAACTCTTTGGCATCAACTCAACGTGTTTGGAGGAGGAGGAATGCTGCCTATGACCCCAAGAACACCATCCCAACTGTCAAACATGGTGGTGGAAACATTCTGCTTTGGGGGTTTTTTTCTGCTAAGGGGACAGGACAACTGCACCGCATCAAAGGAACGATGGACGGGGCAATGTACCTTCAAATCTTGGGTGAGAACCTTCTTCCCTCAGCCAAGGCACTGAAAATGGGTTGTGGATGGGTGTTCCAGCATGACAATGACCCTGCTATGCAGAGCCATACAAAGCAGTGCGCAGGAGCTGACAGGGGAGAGATCTGTATTGTTTACATACAGGTCTCTCCCCGTCCGTGATCGCCTGGTACCAGAGGGGAATCACGCCAGTGTCCCCTGTCTGGAAATGCAAAATCACACACATACCTGCCGCCCTGTAGCAGTATTTCTGCAATAGGGCAGAGGGACTGGACAAGACTTTGTTCTATTAGCTTCCAAACTCACAACTGAAAAAGGCATGGAGGAGGCCATTTTTCAAAAGTTGAATCTCACCTGGATATCATTTTTATTAATGAGCAATTAACTAATATGCTAATACGCAAACAATATTTCTTAAAATCTGGAGCCCAAGGCTTGCATATCGGCATCCATCCATCTCTCTGGCAAGCCTGACAGCCACATAAGTGGTCCCTCAGTGGGCTGGACACTCCCTG